CTAAATCCTGTGTCCTACTTTGTAGGACGGTCTGGTAGATAAGAGACACTGGTTATAAATGTAGGAGGTCACACATCTTGTTTCTCTCTTACTCTGGGCTTAGTCCTCTTCCCACTATACCATTTCATAATAGGGCAAAGTGGAACTGGTGTTTGTTTGTCTTGTGCTTTTGGCTATATCCACTGTATTTTTCTCAGATTTGTTGTGACTGATTCATGCTAGGTATACTCAGGTCAGGCTCTTTAGCTGGAGAAATGTTTGGCTGAAGACTCATAGTTCTTGTTAGGCATAAATTAAAGAATTGAGCTGTTCAGCCATGCCAAGGTGGAGGCAGTCACTTCCTGTGCAAAAGCAAAAGTTCAGGGAATAAACTTTTCTGTTACTGTAGCCTTCAAGAGCCCCCAAAAAATAGGCTGAAGTGTTGAGGGTCATCATTTTCAATGTAAGAGCCTGAATGCTGTGCGAGTGCCATATTTGGTCTTAATTTCCCTTTTGGATCTGGGCCTCCTGTGCTTGAAGTAGAGTTTTTGCCTAGACCTAGTAACAGATGCCTTTAAAAAACAACCCTTAGGAGTCGTAAATCTCATCAGTTGTGTGTAATAGGTTTAAAGGCCAGGGACATAGCTTTCGTCCTGAAGTGCAATAGCATTGACTGGCTTGTGACCATACTGCTTAGGTCTAAGCCCCTCTATAGCAAATTTTGTCTTAAGTAGATCTAGATAGAATGATGAAAATAGAATCAGCAAGTGAGATTTCAGTTCAACGATGTTAGTGACCATAGAGTCTTCCAGGCTTTACAGAAGGACCTGGATAGGCTGGATCGATGGGCCGAGGCCAGTTGTGTTCAACAAGGCAAAGTGCTGGGTCCTGCACTTTGGTCCCAACAACCCCATGCAATGCTACAGGCTTGGGGAAGAGTGGCTGGAAAGCTGCCCAGTGAGAAAGGACTTGGGGGTGCTGGTGGACAGCCAGCTGGATATGAGCCAGCAGTGTGCCCAGGTGGCCAAGAAGGCCAATGGCATCCTGGCTTGTATCAGGAATAGTGTGGCCAGCAGGAGTAGGGAAGTGATCGTGCCCCTGTGCTTGGCACTGCTGAGGCTGCACCTCAAATACTGTGTTCAGTTTTGGGCTCCTCACTACAAGAAGGATATTGAGGTGCTGGAACGTGTCCAGAGGACACCAACAAAGCTGGTGAGGGGTCTGGAGCACAAGTCCTGTGAGGAGCGGCTTGAGGGAATTGGGGTTGTTTATCCTGGAGAAGAGAAGGGAGACCTTATTGTCCTCTATAACTGACTGAAAGGAGGCTGTAGCAAGGTGGGTGTTGGTCTCTTCTCCCAAGTAACAAGCAATAGGACGAGAGGAAATGGCCTCAAGTTGCACCAAGGAAGATTTAAATTGGATATTACGAAAAATGTCTTCACTGAAGGGATTGTCAAGAACTGGAACAGGCTTCCTGGGGAAGTGGTTGAGTCCCCATCCCTGGAGGTATTTAAAAGATGTGTAGACATGGTACTTAGGGACATGGTTTAGTGGTGGGATGGCAGTGTTAGGTTGACTGTTGGACTTGATGATCTTAAAGGTCTTTTCCAACCTAAATGATTCTATGGTTCTTGGATCACTTCCTGCATACCTTATGTTTACTAGAATAGTTGCAGGTTTAATTTAGGTTCCATTTTCACTGATACCTGAAGATCTAAGCTGATTCTCAGCAGTAAACCCATACCTACTAACCAGATTATAAACATACTTGCTTTTCTTCTGGCAACAGTCAAGTTCTACTATAGAAGCTTTCACATGAGATCATCTGTGCTGCTTCTCATCTTGAGCTTGGCCCTTTCTTCAGAATATTTGGACCTTAACTGAAGATGAGGGCTACAAAAATGATCAGAGGTCTGGAGCACCCCTCTTATGAGGACAGGCTAAGAGAGTTGGCGTTGTTCAGCCTGGAGAAAAGAAGGCTGCGGGGAGACCTGATTGCGGCCTTTCAGTACCTAAAGGGGGCCTATAGGGAAGATGGGGAAAATCTTTTTAGTAGGGCCAGCTGTGACAGGACAAGGGGTAATGGTTTTAAACTAAACCAGGGTAGGTTTAGACTGGATATAAGGAAGAAATTCTTTACAATGAAGGTGGTAAAACCCTGGAACGGGTTGCCCAGAGAGGTGGTGGAGGCCCCATCCCTGGAAATATTCAAGGCCAGGTTGGATGGGGCTGTGAGCAACCTGATCTAGTTAGCAGTGTCCCTGCTCACTGCAGGGGGGTTGGACTAGATGACCTCTAGGGGTCCCTTCCAACCCAAAACATTCTATGATTCTATGTCAATTTAAGTATGGGAAGCTTGTCAGTCTGCAGATTACTGTGTATTCTCTGCTAATGGAAATGGTGTATCTTTTTATGAAACGAGAATTGGGATCACCATCAAATGCAGTTGTAAACTGAGCCAGTATGTCTTTCATTAGCATAGGCAAGTAGTAAATCCAGTGGCCTGGTCAGAGTCCTCAATACATAGTTTCTACCTTGTCTTTTAGGTGTCACTCTAATACAGAAATTTTCACTCTCTGTAATGTACTGTTAGGAAGATTTGCTGCTCTAAAGAAACTATGTTTTATTCTCAGTAACATATTCTGATATATTTTGTTACAGTTAAATTTAGAAAGTTCTATTAGGATGAAAGATGCTATGCGTATCAACTGACTGGAAGAAAGTTACCTTCATCTTGGAAGTGGAGGATCAGAAGCAAAGTTTGGGCTTAAAGTTGTATGTAGATTACTTACAAGATTAAAAAAATATTGCTGAGAGCTCTTGTGGACAAATACTTTTGGTGACTAGAATCTCATGAATGTTTGGGATTTTTATCAACCATCAACATTGGTACATTCTCCTGTAAAGCCAGGTTAAACCAGGTGATCTGGAGGAAACAGATTAGTTAATTCCTTGCATTAAAGACATATATATTCTGTAGTATTTACAGTTGAAAATAAAACATATATTACAGAAATCTAGATTTTTATTTTAATATCTAAACAAGATGTAGAGAAAACAGTGCTTTACGGTCTCCCCATGCTTTAAACTTGAAATGTGAACATTTTCTCCTGGTTTTAGCTTCACATCTACAGTTTGACCTATGTGTAGAACATATGTGTAATCTGTAACTTTTCAGACAAAAATAAAGTGCAATAAACACTGTACCTGGAAAATGGAAATCACTGTCAAGTAAATTGGAATGCACAGTTGTTTTTGGGCAAGGAGAATGAGCTCTACTAAGTGATATTTTTATTGGTAATTCTAGAAAATGTTAATTTTTGGCATGGTAATGTTTTATTAATGAGATGCTTTTCTGCTCTATTACGAGACTTGCAGTGGGTGGCAATTTCACCTTGTGCTGCATGCTAAAATTTGCAGACAAGCAATCAAGTCTTTTTCACTGTTTGTGTGTCTAGTTATTAAGTTCAAAATTAAGGCATATATTTTAAATATAAAAATTTAAGAACTGTTTTTCCTTAATGCATGCCATATATTTTGGTACCTGGTGATAAAAGAAAATTCTGTTCTGCAGAGAGAGGGCAGAATAATTGTTAAATATCAGGTAAACTGAATACGAATTACTAAATTTACTCATATGTAGTGAAAATTAGTAAAAGGAACCATAACTGAAAACTGACAATTTTTTTTGCCTCAGTTTGTATCTAGTGACTATTGAAGTCTGTTACTATGGCTTGGATGGGTGTAACTTGTGGCAGAATCTACTCAAAGTGCCATTACTTGTACTTTCAATTACTTGCACTCTTGATTATCTCCATCGGAAGAAATAAAGGCTAGGTTCAAAATCACTCCTGAAACGGCTGTGGTTTGCTTCTAGTCTTACATAGCCATGTATTTATAATTGGCAGACATTTATAATGTGTTTGTCATGGTTTAACCCAGCTGGCAACTAAGCACCACACAGACACTCGCTCACTCGCACCTGGTGGGGTGAGGGAAAGAAGAGGAAGAGTAAAAGTGAGAAAACTCCTGGGTTGAGATAAAGACAGTTTAACAGGTAAAGCGAAAGCCACGCACAGAAGCAAAGCAAAGCAAGGAATTCATTCACCTCTTCCCATGGGCAGGCAGGTGCTCAGATGTCTCCAGAAAGCAGGGCTCTCTCACGCATAACAGTGACTTGGGAAGACGAATGCCATCGCTCCGAGCATCCCCCCACCTCCTTCTCCCCCCAGCTTTATATGCTGAGCATGATGTCATACGGTGTGGGGTATCCCTTGGGTCAGTTGTCCTGGCTGTGCCCCCTCCCAGCTTCTTGTGCCCCCCCAGCCTCCTCGCTGGTGGGGTGGGGTGAGGAGCAGAAAAGGCCTTGACTCTGTGTCAGCACTGCTCAGCATTAAGGAAAACATCCCTGAGTTATCAACACTCTTCCTAGCACAAATCCAAAACGCAGCCTCATACCAGCTACTGTGAAGAAAATTAACGCAATCTCAGCCAAAACCTGTACAGTCTTATATTAAGATTTTATTATAGTCGCCTTTCTAGAATTAAAATTAAAACTTTGATCACTTTTTTCCTTAAAGCAAAACTTCCTGAAGAGGCCCAAAGGTTTGAATTATAGGAGCAGTTATGGCTTCTCTTCCTGGCTTAATTGTAACTTAGTTGATTAGCAAGTACTTTGTGACAGGCAGTAAATTTCCATAGGTTGATGTTGCAAGGCTACCTATCAAACACAAATGACCTAGAGGGCTAGTACCTGACTCCTTCCTCTGACAGCATTTGTAGACAGGCTTTATTGTAGATTAGGGCTCTTCACTTTCAGAGCTTAACAAGCAGCTGTGGGCCTAATCGTGAAGCTGAATAGAGACAAGGGACAAATGTTTGTAGTCTGAGGCAGTGACTCCTGTCCTTTCATGAACAGATGCCAAAATGCAATTTATGCACTGGTCTTGAAAGCTGTATCCAGTTCTCATGGTGTTTGCTCAGTTTCTTACTTTCATGAATGAATTGGAATTTTCTCTAGGATGTTCGAAGACTGCTCTGTTCTGTCAGAAGAGATAATGAAGAGCTTTAATATTAATGGTGAGACAATGATTCTGACAAACTTGCTTTTATACTTTGCTGAAGGAAAAGGATAAAATGATTGTATCTGCAAATTGCGTAGACTGTGATGAGCAAAATTTTGAACAGGTGAAACTTGCTGATTCCCAGACTGCTGAACAAGCAGCCAGAAATGTGTGGTGCATTATCATGTGATCTTATTATTGGGTTGGATTATTATTGGTTGACATCTTTACTGCTGGCCTACTTGGTTTGTTCTTACTCTGATATAAACACAAAACTTGCTAAGAGCATCTGAAGTCCTTGAAAATATTGCATCTGCTTCAGTCAGCATGAGGTCTGGTTGTAATAAATATGAGTATTTACAGGATAAGTCAGTTGTGTGATTCAGCACACATTTTAAAACTTCAGGAAATACCACTTAACCATAAATACACACTACCTACTGTTTCTCAGATTGGTGTATGAACATATAGTTGGAAAATGACCGTTTCTTTTTCTTCATTGTAAATTTTAGCTTTTAGTGTACCCTGTTCCTATTATGTAATATTTTCTAGCTCAGACTGGAAACTAATAATAGGTCTTTGCATTTCTATACTATGTTATCCAGTGTCAAAGTACTTAAAAGCATTAATTGATCAAACCTTGCTATGTGGCTATGGGATTGGTAAGGACTCCATTTCTGTAGTGAAACCATCACTTAGGAAAAGAGTTGTTTACAGAGAGGTTGCGAGCACAGATACCACTCCAGATGTGTTCCTTCTATTAAGCCTTCTCTCTTTCAGTATGTTCTGTACCTGCCAAGATTCTTACAGATTGGCACCTCATTCTTTTTATCTTTTTCTTTTTGATAATTTTCAGCATTTACAGTATGGTACAAGCATTATCAGTAGATGGTTCCTTTTAAGGACTGAAGCACTGTAAATGCCAAATGCAGGTGTCAGAGTTTTAAAAATGTAGGTAACTGTCTTAGCAGGTTACTCTGAGTACTCTGTGTAAAATATTTTAGCCCCCCTGCTCCCTCCAGTCTGCCAGAGGACCTGTGTTCCTTCAGAGGGTGACTCATAACTCTCACACTGAGGTTGGAGAAAGCCGGGATACCTGGTGAGTACCACAAAACCACTTCTGACTCCATGGACGTGTCATGAGGCGTGAGGCAGGTGCCACACACCTTCAGTTCTTGGAGGACCAGGCTGAATTATCTTCTGAGATTAGTGGTTTAGCTGAATGTATCTGCCCTCTGTCAACTGACTGCTCTAACCACGAGGCGAGAACAGTTTTTGCTAGATGTCTTTGTGTCCCATTACACTTCCCATCTTGACTACAATTTGGTCACCCCAGAAGCCAGAATCATTTTACTTTTAATAAAAGCATAGCCCATTTGGTACATTCTCAAAATGCAGATCAGTGAAACTGAAGCATTGTTTTACATTAGTAGACTTTCTGCTATTCTACAGAGGCAACTGTGTTATAGTGGGTTTTACACTTCATGCTTTGTTTATCTGCCTTCAGTAAATGATTTCCCTGGGCAATATCTTATCCTTACATCATATTTCTGGTATCTCAGTAGCATATGTTGTACCCGCTGGAGCACACTCAGTAGTAATGTCTTCATGATGCTTTCTAATGTCTTGTCATCAAATTGTACATCCATCTTGTGCTTAAAGATAAACAGATAGAATTGCTGTAATCCAAAGAGCACAGCCACAGCTCTTGTTCTGTGTGAGTAGCTCTAAGAACACTGGCTTTCTTTGTCTCTCAAGACATGATTATTAAATCCTATGAGCTTTGGATCAATCATATTTATTAACTACACCAAGAATTCTGCTTTAGCTCTGTCAGGTCATGTAGGACTGACTGATGAGTAAGTCACAGCTGATTTTTCAAAACTGTAGCAAGCTGTATTCCTCTGTCCAGGTCTAATCAGCTTATTGTAGGCAACACTTAGGGTTTAAAGGAAGGTGAATTATAACCAAAATATTTCAACAAACAAATAATTCCATGATTTAGAAATCCAGGCTAGGTGTTCTGGCTCCTGAAGTCCTGCCCTAAGCCACACTGCAATAAACAGTAAGTAAAAGGTACTGCAGGATCTGCTGCTGATGTCAGTGAGAACTTATTTCTTGTCTTTTGATTTTCTTTAAACTTCTGTAGTCCTGAAAAAATGTTATGTGGCAGAAAATAGACTCCTCTGGTATTCCTTTATAAGCCACTTTGTATCTTACTGTTATTACAGTTGAGTAACTAATACAGAGTGTATTTGACAACTAGAATTAAGTAGAAGTTTTATGGAAAGTTACATGTGTAATGCTTTCATGTGATGAAACAGGGATAAATGTCTTAATCACTGCAGCTGCAAAACATCACGTAATAAAAAATAAGGAAAAATGTTATTTAAAAGTGAAACCCTAGTGTCACTGGTTACCTTAGCAATACCCTGTTAGATTCCCAGAAGTGAAACCTATACTTTGAAATAGAGCCTTTGGCTCAAAGCATAGATCCAAATTTAGGTGAATGCCTGTACTGTGTAGCCAATCTTTAGTCTTGAATTACAAGCTGCAGCTGTTTGGCTGAAGAGGTAACAAAACGTGATAGTCATGTATTGACCAACATGGTTCCATAGGTCAGAAGAAGGCTTAACAAAGTAAATTATAGAATTATAATATAAACTACATATATCATATAAATTACAGAAAATTATAGACTTTATTGTCTTGCACAGACAAGAAATAAGTACCCTTTCATTGTTTTCAGGTAGGGAGCTAAACCCTTAATTTTCAAATAAAATTTTTAGTCTATTGGCCTAATTTTTATTGCATAGGTTTCATAATTTTGGAAAGTTTTTGCCCTGTGAACTCTCAAATTAAGGTCACTTTTCACTAGATCTGTCATCATATAGTGTGTGCACACCACCAAAGATAAGCACTTCCAGTGGTGCAGAGCAGAAGACCCAGCAAAGAATAGGGCTAGACATTTGGCTAAAGATACATTGGCTCATTTAATTTGGGAAAAATATTATGTAGTACAGTGCCCAGATGCTGCTCGTAAGGTAAACCACATAAGGTTCAGTTTATCCACCTTTGGAGATTAAAGGACTTGAACTGTTCCTGGAAGGTGTGCTTGGGGTTTTTTTTGATTGCTTTTGTTTTCTAACACTGTGGTCCCAAAGAATCCAGATCTGGCTCAGAACAGTAAGCAATTAAACATAGTGGCTAAAACCCACACTTCCTCTGTTGACAGTAAAGAATATGCCCCTTCTCACCTTTGAGATGAAGTAGAGGTGTCGGTACTGTGATTAGCAATATATGGTTTATTTCCATATTTCTAGAGCTTTTTAAATGACTCCCAATTCATAAGGAGGATTTATGAGTCTGAAAATGTATAAACCTTCTGGATGGTACTTAAGATCAGTTTAGGCTCTTCTCTTGAGTAAAATATTACCATGAAATAATAAAACAACCCACAAAAGTCAGTATGACATAAAGCAATATCGTTTTATGGCGTAGGGTATATTTTACATTTAATTCACTTTTTTTTTTTTTACATTTAATTCACTTTTTTTTTTTAATAACTAAGATCCACTAGAGTATTCAGTACGAAATGGAAAAAAAAAACAAGGGAAATGAAGGAAAGAAAATTTGGAAATCTTCTGCCAAAGGAGAGAAGCACCATCTGCATCCCACAAGCCATTATCATTGTCATGGTTTAATCCTAGCCGGCAACTTAAGCCCCACAGAGCTGCTCGCTCACTCCCCTGTTGGAATGGGGGAGAGAATCAGAACAGTAGAAGTGAGAAAACTTGTGGGTTGAGATAAAGACAGTTTAATAGGCAAAGCAAAGGCCGCACACGCAAGCAAAGCAAAGCAAGGAATTCATTCACCACTTCCCACCAGCAGGCAGGTGTTCAGCCATCTCCAGGAAAGCAGGGCTCTATCATGCGTAACGGTGACTTGGGAAGACAAGCGCCATCGCTCCTAATGTCCCCCCTTCCTTCTTCCCCCAGCTTTACATGCTGAGCATGATGTCATATGGTGTGGGATATCCCTTGGGTCAGTTGGTGTCGTCTGTCTTGGCTGTGCCCTCTCCCAGCTTCTTGTGCCCCCTCCCAGCTTCTTGTGCCCCCCCAACCTCCTCGCTGGTGGGGTGGGGTGAGGAGCAGAAAAGGCCTTGACTCTGTGTCAGCACTGCTCAGCATTAAGGAAAACATCCCTGAGTTACCAACACTGTTTTCAGCAGAAATCCAAAACGCAGCCTCATACCAGCTACTGTGAAGAAAGTTAACTGTACCGTAGACATAACCAGCAGATTGTCCACCCCTTACTCCATGCCGTTTATGTCATGCTCAGGTCCCACACTATCCAATACAACCTCACTACCCGCCCCCCCCTTCCCATCCTTTGACATAATACGCCTATATAGTTCCCATAGTCTAAAGACCACCCCTGTAAAATGTCCACAAAATGTCCACTGAGTTCATTTAGTCCATGACTTTGGGCTCCATCTTTTATGGTGGTCACTCGGGACAGGAGACGTGGTGTGTTGTGTGGAGTTAATGGGCACCAAAGCCAGCTTAGACTGGGTCACTGCAGCACTGGCACTGCTTCTAAGGCTTGTCCTCCATTGAAGCAGCTTCTTCCTGCTATTGTAATTCCTATAACATGTAACTGAAATCATGGGTTACAACAATTTAAAGGTATCTCCATTACAATCTCCACCCCTGGTCCTTTTGGACCAGGCCATAGGATTTAACATTGCAGTGAACTCCTCCCCTTTGCTGCTGCTCAGGCTTGGACTTACCCACCGACTGCAGACCCTTAGGGCTGTACCTGCTCCAGGTGGAGCACTCTCTGTCAGCCACAGTCTCTCCAGGGCTACACCTGCTGTGGCACAGAGTTATCTGCAGCCACAGTTGCTTTGAGGTGCACCTGTTCCCACGTGGCCTTCTCTATGGGCCACAATGCCTTCAGAGATAGACCTGCTCCAGTGTGGTCTTATGCACAGCCACAGCCCCTTCAGAAGTA